AGGTGCATTGAATCAGTGCATCTCTAGCAAAGCATTGGGACGCTAATGTGCACGTGTGGCAAATTATAATGCTGCACCAATTAGTATCTCCTCATAGAGGTGCATTGAATCAGTGCATCTCTATGACGATCGTTCAGCGCCACCATACAGAGCATGGAGATGCTTAACATAAACTGACCCAGAAAGCCCCTCTAGTGTCTGTCTGAGTGACTGAAACTAGAGGTGTTCCTAGGCAACAATGTAAATGTTTACATTAAAATGCCTGCAGGGAGAGGCTATAGACACCAGAACCACTATATTAACCCCTTCAGGACGGAGTCAATAGTGCACGTTCTGATCAAAACAAAACGTAAACAAAAACTGGAATTTGAGCTATATGTCTGTTCAACCGTAATTCACCGCTGTCACATTAAGTGCACCCACACTTATTATATATCATTTTGTTCAGGAGAAACGGGGCTTTAATTTATCATTAACTATTCATATATGGAACATAATTTATTATGAATAAAATTTAAAAAAATGTGAGAAAATAAGATTTTTTTTAAAATTTGTAATTCCGTTTGACATTTTAGCTGTGAATGTCATAATACTGTTAGGTTTTACTGCAAATAAATGCACATATTTGTAATCAGCGATGTCTCACGAGTACAACAGTACCCCCCCATTAACAGGTTTTATGGCGTTTTGGAAAGTTATAGGGTCAAATATAAAACGTTCCATTTTCAAATAGAAATTTGCCAGATTAGAAATGTTAACTTTGGAGAGGGGCGGAGCCAAGCAGCAGACAGGAACGGTCGCATCACCTCCGAGCTCCGGTCAAACGACGCCTCAAAGGCCCTAAAACAAAGCCCTGCTGCACCTACAGAGGCATTCAACCAGCTCCCGGGGAAACCCCAGTAAGAGAGCAGCAAGCTAATGCCTTTTTTGTATCCGCAAACGAGCAGACAGACCCGACGGAAAACCGGGGCCTACACCGCCTACCAAGCCACGAGGCTAGCACAAGAACTTACAGCCCTGAGAGTGCACCAGGACGCCTACCTGCAGATTGGGTCAGCTGTGCCTAACGACCACAACATGGGCAGAAAATCCCAGAGACCCACACAGAACACAAGCAGGACCACACAGGACATAGGCGACCTACTGCAAAGACCAATTGCGCCCAAGATGGCGGCCTCACCAGATCGCACAACTGCCTCCCAAGATGAAGGAGAGCAATCCGGAGCCGAACAAGAACTATTAACCGCTCACCCAATAAGGGATCCACAAATTAACAGAACTAACCTCACACCGGCTACCAAACAAGACATAGCCGACCTGCTGAAAGAAATGAGACAAATGCACGCAGCAGATATGGACTTGCTAAGGACCGAAATGCAGGCAATAATTACACGCACTCAAGCCACTGAAGAGGACACCCTTGACTTGAAACAAGAGGTACAGGGGCTAAAAGAACAAATAATACTCATGCAGACATCCCAATCCAACCTCACTACGAGAATGGACCTAGCAGAGGACCGCAACAGGCGCACTAACTTAAAACTAAGGGGGATACCGGATAGCGTGGACTCCACAGAACTACCCCACTACCTCAAACGTCTCACAGCCACGCTCCTACCGCACGCCCAAGCCAAAAAATTCACACTAGACGGCTTCTTTAGAATCAAAAAAGCAAGACAAGCCCCAGCCACAGCTCCACAAGATGTCATCATCCGGTGCCACTCAGTGGCAGACAAAATCAAGATCCTTACAGCAGTCCGCGGAAGGACACCACTTGCATTTGAATCATCCCACATTACCTTCTATCAGGACTTAACAAGAAACACGCTGTTGTGGCGCAGGTCCCTGGCACAAGTGACAAGCAGTCTGCGCGAAGCCAAAATTGAGTACAAATGGACTCTACCAAGGACCCTGACTGTAACCAAAAATGGTACCACACACAATCTTTTCTCACTACAGGAGGCAGAACAGTTCCTACGCGCAGTGGGGATTCACGCCGGATCCGCAGCACAAGAAACTCCCACATCTTCGCACACCTGGGATCCTGACAGAGCGACTCCATTCATCCCCAGGAATAGAGAACACCGGAGAGAACCGACCTGAACTGTAAAACTTGTAGCCAACAAGCATACAATGCATTAACCGGTTCCGATCTCGCCTTCTGTTTTACCTTTAGTTTCTTATGTTGTTTCACTGTTTAATTTTATCAATGTATTACTGTAACACATGCACTTATACGACTAACTAAACGCTACACTATAACTGCTGCCGACATAACATCAGACAAGACCTACCCTGACACATACACCAAAAGCTCCAGGGAGAATACACTTCCTCCCACCCCCCCCGTGACCCCCTCGGTAAGGAGTCAATTCCCAACCCACTGGACGATCGCTGAGACACACATAGGCTCAAAGAGCGACAACCCCTATATACACGTATACCTATACACAAACAGACACACGCTGACATACGCGGACTTCATAGCACTCACCTGTGGACACGCACATCACTGAGGACAACCATTCGTACACACAATTAACCCCTTCAGGGAACATGTAAGGGGGCACGAACACGCAACCAACCAACTCCAAACAGACAACCCTTGGGTTCTTTACCCCCCCACACCACTACAATCCTAGCACTGGAGGGGAAAAAGACACACTCCTCAAAAATTACTCCAATGTTGCCTCAGTTCGACACCAACTGACCCATAAATTATATTAAAATGTGCAGAACTAGCTGACACCACAGATTAGAATCGACAGACTGCAATGTATGCCTAAACTACATTGTGATGTCATGAACCGTTTAAAAACCCGGAAGGCTGTTGTGGCCATACGGGTAGTATTGTAACTAACCTTGCACGCAAAAATAAAGAATTGCAAAAAAAAAAAAAGAAATGTTAACTTTGAGACGGTGTTGTAGCCCAGGAATGAGAATTACCCCCATAATGGCATACCATTTGAAAAAGTAGACAACCCAAGGTATTGAAAGTGGGATATGTTTAGTCTTTTCTAGTAGCCAAAGTTAGCGTTCATATTTGTTTTTGTGTGAAAAAAGCAAAAAACTAATATTTGGCCAGTGTTTGTGACTAAGTGGCTACTAGGAAAGACTGGACATACCTCACTTGCAATACCTTGTGTTGTCTACTTTTGCAAATGATATGCCATCTTGGGGGTAATTCTCATTCCTGGGCTACCATACACTCTCAAAGACAACATAACCAATGTGGCAAATTTCAATGTCAAGAAAATGAAATGCAAGCCTTATATGTGACTCTCTAACTTTCCAAAACACCATAAAACCTGTACATGGGGGGTACTGTTATTCTCTGTGGTCTTCACTAAACACAAATATTAGTGTTTTAAAACAGTAAAACATATTACAACAATAGTATAGTCCATAAAAGTGCTGTTCGTTTGTACAAAATGCAAAAAACTTCACTTTTACTTAAAATACCATCGTTGTAATACAATTTACCAGTTTGAAACACTAATATTTGAGTTCAGCGAAGTCTCCCGAGTAAAACAGTACCCCCTATGTACAGGTTTTATGGTGTCTTGGAGAGTTACAGGGTCAAATATAGTGCTTGCAAATTAAATTCTCTGCACTTTCTCCCTGTGTTGTCAGGCATGTCAATCACATTTTAATTAATCAAATCACATAATTATGTTAAAAGATTACTTAAATATACATGTAGAATTTTTATATATATGCATTTATAGGTATTTAAATTCTACGTGTATACTAATGTAATCTTTTATGTAATTATATGTATTTATCTTTATATATATATTTGCGGTTATTTGTATTTTATATATAGATAGATATATATAGAATGTCATTCTAAGTGTATTTTGTTACCAATATATATATATATAAATAACAAAATACAGTTAGAATTAAATTACATATGAATATATAATTTATATTAAATTTTGTTTCAATATTTTATTTATTAATTTTATTATTTTATTTATTATTGTAATTATACGTATATATATATATATATAAAATATATGTGTATATATCTATTATATATATAATAAATATATATTATATATGTAACGTCATTCTAAGTGTATTTTAATACTAATATATGTACTTATATTAGTATTAAAATACACTTTGTATGACGTTACATAAATATAATATGTAAATATATATATTATATATATAATAGATATACATATATTATATATATAAATACATTTCTATTTTATTTTAAAACATGTTTAATAATTTTTTTTTTTTACTTTCCCACCAGCAGGGGGACTGTCTGACATTTTAGACAGTCCCCCTGCTGGCAGATCCACAGCCAGCTATAGGGGGCCATGTGATCGCTCTTTGAGAGCGATCACATGGCCCCCGGGGGCTTGGGAGGACTGCCTGGGCATTCAGGCAGTCCTCCCAAAGCAGAGCGCCGGGAAGGTAAGTATCCCGGGCGCTCTGAGGGCTGCAGCCGTTACGGCGTTCTATGCCGCCACAACGGCTTTAAAGCCCTTTTAAATGGGGACGGCATAGAACGCCGTAACGGCGTTAACGGGTTAAGCTGTAGTTGTTCTGGTGATTACAGTGTCCCTTTAAGTGCTTTATAGGTCTGGAAGCAGGCTCCCCCAAACTCTGGCCCTCCAGATGTTGCTGAACTACAACTCCCATGATTCTCAGCCTATTTCATTCATAGAATCAAGGGAGTTGTAGTTCAGCAACATCTGGAGGGCCAGAGTTTTGGGAAGCCTGAGTGTCCCTTTAAGCTATCTGGTCTAAATTGTGAAATTCACTGTGAGTTTCCTAAAAATGTTAGTGAATAAGCCTGTTAGAGTAATCCTTTAAAGAAACTACATTGGTTTCCACAGGACCCCCCTGTGATGCAGAGTTCCTTGGTAAACCATTCTTACATTAACAAGAATGCAGAGGAAAATAAACCGATAGACTGTGTGCTCAGTGATAAGATGCTGCAGTCCTGTGGGGGGTGTCATGCACATGAGAAGATAAGGATAAGTGTGTGCGGCTCCTTTAAGAGTTAAGAAACTTGAGATTTGTTTGCGCAACAGTCAGTGCAGCGGAGCCGCCAAAGTGTCTAGACCGTCACGTGATTGGAGACAGCCAATAGGACGCCGTCTGCCGGGCCTGAATGTGTGTGAGAGCGTGAGCACAAAGAGCAGGACTCAGTGTGTGAGGACCGGGGGACTGACACAGCCTGACTGACTGACACACACAGCTCGCACCGGGACAGACTGACAGACACACACACAGGCTGATATTCCGGAGAAGGAGAGCACAGACACAGCGGGACCGATAGCAGTACAGCAGGGGGTGCACGGAGTGTACAGACCGCATCCTAATCCGTGCACTGCGCTATACACCGCGCTGCAGGCACTCACTGCGCTATACACCGCGCTGCAGGCACTCACTGCGCTATACACCGCGCTGCAGGCACTCACTGCGCTATACACCGCGCTGCAGGCACTCACTGCGCTATACACCGCGCTGCAGGCACTCACTGCGCTATACACCGCGCTGTGCTCTGTCTCGGTGAATGCCCGGGATGCTCGGTCGATCCATGTGATAGTTCCGGAGTGACTCTCTGCCCCACTGCTAACATCCCCCGGGAGCTCCGAGATGTGACCCGGCAACTCTGGCCGGACTGACAGCACTGCCGATACTGGCACGGCATAGCCCGGATAGTACCCGCCTGGCACGGCATAGCCCGGATAGTACCCGCCTGGCACGGCATAGCCCGGATAGTACCCGCCTGGCACGGCATAGCCCGGATAGTGCCCGCTTGGCACGGCATAGCCTGGATAGTACCCGCCCGGCACGGCATAGCCCGGATAGTGCCCGCTTGGCACGGCATAGCCTGGATAGGACTGGATACTACCCGCCTGGCACGGGATAGGACTGGATAGTGCCCGCCTGGCACGGGATAGGACTGGATAGTGCCCGCTTGGCACGGCATAGCCCGGATAATACCTGCCTGGCACGGGATAGGACTGGATAGCCCGGTACCCGCCTGGCCCAGCAGTGGCCCCACACAGCGACCTGTCCTGGTGCCCTCCCCGGCTGTGCCCCCCTAGCACAGCCCCATGCCGACCCCCACCGCTCGCCCCGGGCACTGACACTCCGCTGACCCGGGCCCAACCCCGGGGGCGCCGCATGTTCCGGTCCAGACGCTCCGGGCTGGTTCGGCGGCTGTGGCGGAGCCGAGCGGGCGGGGATGGGGGGGTGTCTTGCTGCGGGATGTCCGAGCCGCCCGCTGTGTCCCCGGAGCTGCGCTCGGCTGCCTCGGCTGTGCTCAAACGCCTGAAAGAGCCGGCTCTGGGCGCCCTGCTGGAGGCCGTGGAGTCCCGGGGGGCAGCGGCCGGGGGCTGTGTGCTGGTGAGCCGCCTGGGACCCCCACCACATCTATTGCTCTGCAGACTGTTCAGGTGGCCCGAGTTACAGCACCCCGGACAACTGAAAGCCCTGAGCGGCTGTCAAGGAGCCGGAGGAGCGGACAGCAACACTGTGTGCTGCAACCCATACCACTACAGCCGGGTGTGTGGCCCCGGTAAGTACCCGCACTAACCATCACTTTTCATTTGGTACCCAGAGTAACCCCCCACCACCCATGCTTCCTATGAGACAGCCATAGTCTACTTCCCACGGGTTAACGTGAGACACCCCAATGCAAACTCTACTCGGTTGACTTGGGGCACCCCAACAACGCCCCCACCCCCCACAGTCACCCAGTCGGTTGACTTTAGAGGTGATGAACATGTGGGTCCTTCTTTCTTTATGAGGGGGGGTGAGAGTGGGTTATCAGATCTGGGACATGTCTCCACCTTAGATTATCGATGAAGAGCAAATCTGTGGCTAAATTGTTTAAATGAAAGTCACTGTGGCCTGATTCTAGAATGTTTAGTCTTTAAGATTAGGCTTCTATTTTATGTAGTATCTCCCTGTTCTATTTTGATAACCCAGTCATCCCCTTATTGACAAATTTACAATGACCTGCTAGGGAGCATGGCTGCGGTAATGTCACAGGTCTCCTAAAGGGAGGGAGTGCTCTTTCAGTCACTGAATTGAGGTGGCTCATTTTTATGGATTAAAAACTAGTTTGTGATAGTTTGTGAAGTTTTGAAATGCCTTTTTGTGTAAAGTTTAGTGCATTGTCCATGAATGTATCAGTGACACAACTTTTTTTTTTTTTTCTTCTCTTTTGTGATAAATGCATGACTTTTTTTAAATCACCACAGCAAACCTAACAAACGGTAAAAAAAAACTAAAAAAAAAACTGAAATATCGCATTGACATAACTATTCAGACTTTTAATGCACTAGTAAGATGAAATACCTTTTAGCAGCAATTACAGCCACTAGTCTGTTTTGGAATGATGTGACAAGTATTGCACACCTGGATTTGTGTAGTTTTGGTCATTCAGGTTGGATGAGTCTGTTGGTGGACAGCAAATTTCAGGTCTTTCAGAGATGTTCGTATGGTTGTAGTCTGGGCTCTGGCTTCGTCATTCAGGGACTTTCACAGTATTGTCACTTAAGTCTTTTTTTTTTTTTTTTTGCTGTACTTAGGGACATTTTGTCCTTTTTGGAAGGAGAACCTTCGGCCCAAGTCTGAGGTCCTGAGTGCTCTTACCAGATTTTTGTTAAAGCGGCACTGTCATGCCCAAATTGTTTTTCCCCAATCGCTTCCTCTTCTCTCAGGATCTGTTCATTTCTTCCTACCTGCTTTAGTTGTGTATATTTTTTTATTTTTTTTTAAAAACATAAGACAAAGTAGGGGCTATTTTATCTTGTGTATTTTTCCTATGCTTGCCCAGCTTTGATCCAGGGGAGGAGCAAAGTCTGCTCCATTTCCTGTGGTCAAAGCAATTTTCCCACAATTCTCACCTTTCTCCTGCTGCATTCGAATGCGGGTGCAACTACCGAATTTCGTCCTAACAGAATGAGAACAGTTTGTTTATTCGTATTGTGACGAAATTCCGATCTGAACAAAAATCCTGAATTTCATTAGAATGAATGAAACTCTGATCCTATTCGTGCCGCGAGTAGATAGCTCCCTAATTCCCACGGTATTAGGAAGCTATCTACTAAAAGGATGAAATACCTTAATTGGTCTTTCAACAAAAATTACTAATACTAAGTAAAGATTACTTAGTATAAATCTGCCCCTACTTGCTATACTGCAAGTAGGGGCATGTATACTAAACAGTGAGCAGCCACTGGCCCCCCCCATTTAGTTTAGTTCCCCCACACTTGGTGCACGAAACTGTTAAAGGACCACTCTAGGCACCCAGACCACATCAGCTTAATGAAGTGGTCTGGGTGCCAGGTCCTTCTAGGTTTAACCCATTTTTTTATAAACATAGCAGTTTCAGAGAAACTGCTATGTTTATGAATGGGTTAAGCCTTCCCCCTAATCCTCTAGTAGCTGTCTCATTGACAGCCACTAGAGGTGCTTGCGTGCTTCTCACTGTGATTTTCACAGTGAGAGCACGCAAGCGTCCATAGGAAAGCATTGTAAATGCTTTCCTATGCGACAGGCTGAATGCGCGCGCAGCTCTTGCCGCGCGTGCGCATTCAGCCCAGGAGGAGGATCGGAGGAGGAGAGGAGGCAGAGAGCTCCCCGCCCAGCGCTGGAAAAAGGTAAGTTTTTAACCCTTTCCAGAGCCGGGCGGGAGGGGGTCCCTGAGGGTGGGGGCACCCTCAGGGCACTATAGTGCCAGGAAAACTAGTGTTTTCCTGGCACTATAGTGGTCCTTTAATTATTTTTATAAGCACTTTATTAATGTAGTGGGGGTCTGTTTAGTAGACATGCCCCTACTAACGGAATAGCGAGTAGGGGCAGGTTTATTTCTAAGTACTCTTTAATTAGTAAATTTGGCTGAAAGACCAATTTATGTCTTTTGGTAGATAGCTCCCTAATACTGTCGGAATTGGGGAGCTATCTACTCGCGGCACAAAAATAATCGGTATTTTATTATTTCGAATGAAATTCCGATCCGAACAAAAATCCTGCATTTCGTCCTAACACGAATGGACAAACTGTTCTCATTCGGTTAGGATGAAATTCGGTAGTTGTGCCCGGCGTTCGAATGCCGAATGAAGCAGCAGGAGGAAGGTGAAAATTGTGGAAAATTTGCTTTGACCACAGGAAATAGAGCGGACTTTGCTCCTCTCCTGGGTCAAAGCTGGGCAAGCGAAGGAAAAATACGTAAGACAAAAAAGTCCCTACTTTGTCTTATGTTTTAAAGAAAACTAGAGCAGATATGAAGCACAGATCCTGAGAGGAAGTGATCTGGGAAAGGTAAGTTCAGCATGACAGTGCCACTTTAAGGCTTTCTCAGTATTTTTGCCGCTTTCACTTAGCACTGATCACGCTCCTAGTCCCTTCCAAAAAGCACCCCTAATGCATAATGCTGCCACCACCATGCTTCACTGTTGGGATAATATTGTGCAGTTGGTGAGTGGTGCCATGACTCTTTGAATTGAGGACAAACCGTTCAATCTTCAGTGAAGATATATATATATATATATATATATATATTTTTTTTTTTTTTTTTTTTTTCGTGTGTTTTGCAGTTAGGAAATGTCCTGTTTTTTCCAAACCTCTTCAGTTGAAGAATTATAGAGGCCATTGTGCTCGTGGGAACCATTAATGAGGCCACATTTGTTTTTGTGAAGCCGTCCGGCATTGCAGCAGATATGATGTGAGAGAAAGCGGCACTGTCACAGTCTGTGGACTTTTGCAGAATTTTGTAATGGGCAGGTAAAGGGGAGTCCTTCTTACCTGAACTTGTCCCTTGCGGGCACTGACCTCTTATCCCAGTGGGTCCTCTTCAGCGTTCCAGGCGCAATATGTGCAAGAGTACAGCATTGAGGTCTATGGAGGATCCTGCAATACTGTGGAATCCTCGATAGATAGATGGTGGTAGGTGTCTAGAAGTGTCATACATAGGAAATAGACAGCCGTCCCTACTTTGTTTTAGTAAATCTCTTGACTGGGTTGGAATTTCAGTGAAGTTCCACTATAACTTACTTTGGCATGATAAGGGATAGGATTAGGAAAACCTCTCTATCTACTCTGACAGCAGTGAGCATCAGGTGCAGAACTGGGAAAATCATTTAATTTCTCCCGATTTGACATGGAAACAAATATTTGGATAGCCGGTCCCATTTTAGGGTTTTGATGACCTTGATTTGTATAGTTGGTGTATGTTGTTTTATAAAGAGGATAACAAACCTCCTCATAAATTAAATTTACACTATGGAGTTAGGAATACAAACATGCATTCCTAATGCTATTGCAACTCTGTTCCTCTATCTATACAGATCCCCCTCCATAAGTTTACATTAAAAAATTTCTTCTGTGTGCTTATCTTTCCGCCTCCCACAACATCGTGGAAAAAAAACATGTTCTCCATGATAATCTGATCAAAAGCTTCTAGAAGATGAGTAGTCGGGCCTAATGCGCATGTGCGACGAGCTTGGCATTGCATGCTCATTCAAGCTTCCCTTAGGAAAGCATTGAATCAGTGTTTTCCCATATGGGCTGTAGCGTCAACAGACCAAGACTTACACTATGCAGATGAGAATGAAAGAGAAGATATTGAAAGTGTTCTATAAATATAATCAATCACACACTTCTTTTTATTTATATAAATACAACCTTCCTGAGCTGAGATGCTCTCACAGGGTGCAAAGTCTGACAGAGGCTGGCAGTATTTCCATTAATTGTAATCTAAAATAGAAGGCTGGTGCTATGGGAACAAACAGGAATGTGGCCAGTAAACCAAAAATGTGGCAGTGCTCTTTGTAGTTATCTGTGTATTAGACCCTTTAGAGTGTACATATTGCCTCATTTTAGAGTTTCCACCTGGTTGCTGTCTTACAGGTACATCCAATATTTGAGGCTTTCTGGCCAGTGCCAGTATTTGAAAAGTACAGGCAATGTAAAGGCCGGTGTTCTATCAAATTCCCCTACCTCGTGAAAATCCCCTACCCTCCTCACATCTGGTGAGGGAAATCAGCTGGATCCTGTGCTGCATATGCGTGCTAGCACTCCTGCTACTCCTCCACAGCAAGGTCCTGGAAGGTAAGTAAAACTAGTTTTACACTTTCATTATAGCTAGTGCATACACTAAGCTTAGGCACACGGGACATTTAGGGGTAAGGGTTAAAATAAAAGTGTGAAAAAGCACAATTTAGTGATATTCCCCTAATGTGAAATATCACTAAATATGAACAAGTCCCTAACCCTAATTTGAACCCTAACATTAACCCTAAATGTCCCATGTCCTAAGCTTAGTGAATGCACTAACTATAATGATAGTATGTTTTCCCTTTAAGATGCATTGTAGTGATAGTAAACGTTAGTTGCTATCTCTGGTTTTGTGTCAAACCATTTATGCGGTTTGGCAAACGGGAGGGTGGAGGGGGGGGGGGCGAAGTACCCATGATCTTTTTCCACACTATAGAGATTTTACACTGCCAGGTTGGCAATATTTAACACCATACAACAACAATATTGGTTATGATGCTTTGGCTGCCTTGCTAATTTTAGACTTGTCTACCGTACATAGCAGTAAGCCATGAGACATGCAAGGTTGGTATAGATTTGACTAGATATGAAACTTCATGTAGTAATTGATGTGCTAAAAAAGCACCATATTTCAAAGGTGTTACATTATAATCACTTTCTTTTATATCACAATATCAAATTGTAGCTTGTTTGTGCAGGGTCTTCACCACGTTCTTTTGTGTGTTCAAATTATCTTGTTGCAACTACATGCTGTACAGCATGATATGGTGGCTTTGTGGGCTTTCTCTCTCGCGCTCCCCCTCCCCTCCCTCAGCCACTTACCTTAATCCAGCGCCGGGCTCCCTAGGCGCTGGTGACCTCTCCTCCCCCACCGACGTCGGCTCCCAAGTGGAGACGAATGCACATGCGCATTCAAACACGCCCATAGGAAAGCCTTACTCAATTCTTTCCTATGGGGATCTTATTTGACGCTGGACTCCATGAGGACGTCCAGCCTCAAATAAGTGCGAATTACTGTAAATCGTGGAAGCGGCCTTTACAGGCTGTCAAGGAGACTGCCACTAGAGGTTGTATTAACCCTGCAGGGGAAACATTTCCCTGAAATTGCTGTGTTTTCAGCTGCAGGGTTAAAACTAGTGGGACCTGGCACCCAGACCACTTCATTGAGCTGAAGTGGTCTTTTAAGCGCTGGCCTAGTTTCTTTCCTCCTCATTTGTAGTGTGTGCCCTGGCTGTGTTTGGAATTAAATGGATTGTGGGGTTGCTTGCTAAAAATGTTTACTGTAAAACTAAATGAAAACAAGCATCATATGAAAAAAGGTTAATAGTTACAGGGGGTTAATGTTAATAGTTTCCAATGAAATGACAGTTCAACTCTAAACAAGCACTCCAAACCCTTATAGCTGCTTCAATGGAGAGAAGTCATTATGGAGTCTGGATGCCATTTTACCTTTATGGGGTATGGTGTAATCCCAAAGTTCATTTAACAGTGCCTGTTTTCTCAGCCCCTTTCTCCAATGAGAAAGCTTTGATCTTTGGCCGTGGTGATCAGTTAAAGAGCATTAGCTGACTCTCTATCACTGGCTACTACTTACAATTGGGAAATAGTGTTCTTTCCATCAAAATACACTGTAAAACAACATAAACAATTGCATTGAGCCATAAACTACCAATATTCATAAAGCATTTTTGTTTATGCTGTATATGTGAAGTATAAATGTCCGTGATAAGATTCATAAATATTTTTATACTTTTTGTTTTCATCCTGTAATTCTCCGTATCTGCTAAACCACCACTTTGCTGGGTGTTAAGCAGTTAACATTGGAAACTGCACAGGAAAAAACTATTGAATTTCAGTTGCTGTCATTGTAAATAGAGAGAGAACCCCTCCCTTGCGCATCATTTTTCTTAAGTTTTTTTTTGTTTTTTTTTTGTTTTGTTTTTTCCTTCTTTATTGAATTTCTCTGGGAAAACTGGGTAGCCGCAATTACTTTAACAAACTCCAGCCATGAAGATCTCTTGCCATAATTTCTCACTATACCTTGAAGTTAGATGCATCTTTCAGTATCTCCATCCCTTTGTGAGGCAGAGACCTTTACTGTAATGTGTTCTCTACTGGACAGTATGGAGTAGGCATCCCCCCAATTTGCAGTATAACCTGCAAATAAGAGCTTTACTTACCTGGAATCCAGTGCCGGGTGGAGCTCCTGATGCTGTCTTCCATGCCATATGTGACGTCACATGGACATCGAGCGGTCCAATCACAAGCTTCTTTTAAAGAAGCCTGTAATTGGAACAATTTTCCAGCTCAGTGTGCATGTGCATGCTCCGCGTGGGGGAAATGGATGCTCTGCCTGCAAGGGAAGAGATCTGTGTTTCAAGCTCAAAACACTGTACATACATACTCCTACCACAATGACCACTTCAAATCACTAAAGTGGTCATGATGGTTGGAGTAACCCTCTAAGTGTCAGAAAAAAATGTGATTTAAAATCTTTACACCACAGTTGGACTTTAAAATATTTGAAAATCTGTTGTCCCAGGTAAAGGCCATGTGAGATACTGCGCTGCCATGGTTGTCCTCGGGTTTATGGGTTGCTGGTGTGCCAAAGCATGCACCACTCTGTCCTGTGTTAAGTGAGACACCATTGTCCGACATCAAACTGAATACATTGTGTAAAGTAAATGCATTTAAAAAAAAAAAAGAGGCGAAATCTATTCTACAATAAGAAAAGGTTAGACAATGAGACTGGCTGTGTCTGCCTTTTCAGTGGGAGTCTGATTAAACCATGCCATGTTCTATGTATTTTAACATTTGCAGTCTCCCTGCTATCTGATACCTACTGGTTATCTCGCACTCATCTCATTCCATTGTTTCTGGAGGAGATGTTCCCAGGCATCTTTAATTGTCTAAAACAATCTTGATTAATTGTTAATGAGGAAAGTTTCATTATGTAATATACTCAATATATTCATTACTTTTATCTGTATTCTATGCAAGCACCCATTTTATCTTCTAACCATACCAATTCATACTAGTAATGGTGACGGTGCCTCCTTGTTGGCCCAATAAGCAAAGAGGGGTGAGCTTCTGGGGGCTCTTGTTTAGCATTAAAGGAACACTGTTTCTTTACACTGTACAAATATGTGTTCCTAACACTAAAGGGTCCCTCAGATTTCACAAAGGGAGGATTTCCTGAAAACTTTTCATTCCTAAATTCTTCTAGTCCAATAAAATATTAGCTACTTCAGCAATCTTTTACTATATCTACAGCAATAAACACACATATTTGTGCGTGCATGCAAGTATCCTAAATGTAAGATTGTGTGTAGATTTGTTTCTTTACCCCTTCCAAACATTTTTGCTAATGTTTGCCATGACAGTCTATTACAAAGCATGTAATTAATCAGTTTAGGGACATAAACATTTCAATCACTGCTGTGGCCTAGTATTAATGAAAATCTATGTGATCAATGTATCCCTAATTTTAGCTATGTAATATGTTTTCCATAGTCTGCATCTGACTAATATATATTGATGAGACATTACGTGGATTGCTACCATAGTTTTGTGCTTAAAATCACCATAGTAATGATAGTAGCAGTCACTTATTGAACTCAAATTCCCATTCCTTGTATAGTCCGAGGAAGGGCTGATGGAAGAACATAGTTGATAACTGTTGACAGCTCCTGTATGCCACCATTAGAAGTGCTGTGCTCCATATACTGCTGAGACTAGGAGACCAATCACCTCTTGGAAATGTAAAGTTAAAATGTTCTGACTGGTTCTTTGCTCACTGCAGAATGGATTTGATTTAAATGAAGTACATTTTAAATCACTAGTTCGTAAGACTCAATTTAAATCGTGAAAACTGTATACCAGGACGTGTAATGCAGTTGGCATATTTCTCTTTGCACATACCTCTGAATTATGTAGTGGGATGAGGTCAAATAGAACAGTTGGGTGACTTCTTTCTTATTTTTACCCCTTTTTCTTTAATGCCTTCAAGTGCAGGAGGCAGAGACTCAAATTTGCCCAGAATCGAAATCACTCTTTCAATGTCTTAATTTTAAATTAAAAAAACAAAAACCAAACAGAACATGCATATATGTATGAAGTGTTTTTAACCCCTTCTCTTTTGACCCATGTTGAAAATTGTTGTGACCATGATGGGCCATGATTTGAAAACAATGTTTCCTTTTCCAATTAATTTTTAAGGAAATTTTGCCACTGGTACTGTTTTTTTTTCTAGAAAATTAACTAGGGATATGCAAATAACTATATGTGAATGTTCCTTACTTATGTTTACTGGGGTGTTTAACTTTCTGTAGGATAATCATCCTCCCCCCCACCACCACCACCACCACCACCCTACCCTTGTTCCAGGCATGAAAGAGTTACTTCTTCCCAATATTCCTTATCTCAGTCTGGTTGGCCTTTGTATTCAATGCCTGGGGCCACTGGGATAATTGCACACACAAACAGGTCTTTAGTGGGAAACATCACAGGCCTGTCAGGAGAGCACAAAATCTGTGTGTTAACCGATTTATAGCCGACACTCCCCAGGCATGAGAGGACACATACTACTCACCTCTTAACATCTAGAGTTTTAAAGCTGTTCTAAGCTCACCTTTTCATACTTGATGGTCTGGCACGATCAGGTTTTCCAATTTGCTGGCTTCCTGTCCCATGTTTTGCCATGATTATATAAGTAAGATAATTCTCATAAATAAATGGATCTATATATACTGAGAACCATGTTCCTTCCACCTTCTTTACTATTAATGTAAAGATCACTTGATTTAGATCTGTGAAAACTTCCATGTATATTATTCTAATATTCTCCGGGAAGAGTGGTTAGGTGATTTTGGTTAAGAGGTATGTCAGGATGTCTGAGTTGCTAGCAAAGTTAGGACGGTAGACTAGAACATAAGGGACACTTAATAATGTGTGATCCAATACATTTAAATTAACAACGCAACAACAAAAAATAGAATCTACAGTTCAAAGTAAGGCAAGAAGACCTGGTTGTCTGCTTTACAGCAAGGAGATGCTACAAATGCGCTTTTATAAGAATGTCACTTTTTTATAAAATAATCCTGTTGGGACAAGCACTTTAGCAAGCTGGAGTCTTCCTTTGAATTACCTCTCCATGCCTTCTTTTACAGGATTTTTCATGTAGCCCAGAACATACTTGAAAACGAGAGAAATCTCACTGTATCCTTCCTATCGATAAATAATGTATCAATGTATCCTTCCAATCTCTATAAATAATGTATCTGACTTGCAGATACATTATTTGTTCTCCTTATTCACATATAAGCTGGCTGAAATCTTGATTTAAAGGAACACTATAGTGTTAGGAATACAAACATGTAAATTCTTACATCGATTACATTTATTTAATTTTTGGCTGGCTTTACCACCTGTGCCACATTGTGCGTGCATATTAAAGGGACACTCCAGACCAGTCATGCACTTTAGCTTGCAGTAAAGCTTTGTGTGATTTTTTTTTTTCCAATAGAAATGGACTCTTTAATTAAGTTACACCCCTCTGGCTTTCAAGCAGACCGCATGTACTGTTACTTCCTGGTTCGGTTAACTCAGTGGAGCAATTGCCCAGGGCACCTGTCTTGCAAAGATTTATGATTGAGCTGGATTGGGAAGTCTGTGATTGGACAGCAACAGAAAGACTGGACTGGGGATAAAGGGGAGGGTTTGCAAAGGCAGCAGACAGAAGATTTTGCAAGCTTTTTTTTTAGATATACCCTAAATGAAAACATGCATGTAATTATGCATTTTTTTTTTTTTTCTATTGGTGGTATATGTACTAAAAATAGTTTATTAATTTTGTATTTGGGAAGTGCCTTTTAATATCCGCAACAAAATTTGCCTTTTTGATACATGCACTGAAATACCACCTTTCACCTCCTTATGCACAAGCACTAAGGACACATGTCTCTTGCCTTTGTTCTAAAAGGAAAAAAAAAAAATGAGCACCATTAGGATTATGTTACCCATTTACATGCTGAGAAGGGGTGGTTGGGAGATTTATATACAAAGTAAAATTACACTTTTGTGTGTTTATCTTAAAGTGCCAGTGCTGCTCCTTTTATGAAATCACTGGTTTTAGTCATATTTTAAATGGCCTGTCCAGATAGCCTTAGTTGCTTGTCTCTGCTTTTTGTTTGTCTAGGCTGCTATCCTTTGTTCACTTGCTATGCTGGGAATGTGCAGAAATCTGATTACCCCTAAAGTACTTTCACCTTTCAATCTCTAATGGCACCAGCTGTGTGACTGCTTCATACAAGTACTCCTATCAGACAAGCTAGACTGTCAGACCACATCAAATCAAAAGGCACCAAAGTCCTATCTACTCCATCACCCCCTAGGCTGTTTATTTCCTTTTTAAAAACTCCCCACATTGTCTGCTTTTGGATTAACCCCTTAAGGACGCATGACGGATAATTTCCGTCATGCAGTATTTTTCCAGCAGGGTCTATTACCTTGCTGGTACCTATGAGCCCCAGGTATCATTTGATTCCTCGGGCCAGAATTAGTGGCCCCAGACTGACAGATGCTCTGTTTGCAGAGCTCAAAGTGAGCGCTGCAAACAAACATTTAAATCCCCACTATTACAATTTGATGTGATCATGGTTTAATCCCTGCTCACACAAGGGAGTTCCAGGTATCAATGGAAACCTGGGGCTCCCCTCTATCAGCTGGGGACATTTTTAGTGACCCTAGCCTTTTTGATGAGCTACACGCAGTGCTAGAAGTCAGCGCGGCACGTATCTGCTTAAATAGGCATTTAAATGCCTATATCTAGATTGTGGTGTAAGCAGGGTTAAATCCCTGCTCACACCAGGAAACCCAGGTATCATTAGAAACCTGGGTTTCCCCTCTGTCAGCTGGGGTAATTTTTAATGTCCCCAGACTGACAGCTGAGCTGCATGCAGAGCATAAAGTGAGATTGGCATGCAGCTGTTTAAATGGGGATTTAAATCCCCATAGAGCACAATGCAGTGAGCAGGGTTAAATCCTATAGATATTAGTAGAGGGAAACCTTTGGGATTAAGATTAAATTAAGGATTATTATTCAGTTTAGAATAAGTACTAGATTTATTATAAGGTTTATGTTTAAGATTAGGTTTATAGTTAATTGTAGTATTGGGATTATGTTTCAGATTCAGATTATGGTTCAGATTAGGATTAAATTCAGCACGGGCATCCCTTGCTGAAAATAGCAAGGGAATTCCTCTGCTGACACCAGCAGGGGGAATCATTTTAACACCTATTGCTAAAGGTAGGATTGAGATTAGGATTTAGGTTATAATTAGGGTTACACATGGGATTATGTTATGGGTTAGGATTATGGTAAGGGTTTATTATTAGATTGAGGATTAGATTTGGGATTAGGATTTAGTTTAGAATTAGGGCTTGGTTTAGGATTACGCATTTAGATTGGAATTAAGATTAAGATCGCTACTTTCACCGACATATGGGGTATATTTGTACTGAGAAGATGTTGCTGAGTACAGCTAAAATAATTTTATGACAGTGGGACACACGAGTTAAAAAATAAGCATCAATAATACTATATATATGTTAACATAAAAATGAGTACCACAAACTTTGAAACAAAATGGTAACAAAATGTCACTTCAATAAAGCTTATAATATTTAATGTGAGAGTCCCCATGGTGTCCACTTTTGTAAATGGTATGCATTGGTGGCGTAATTTAAATAAGAGACTAAAATGCCCCAAAATGAAACAATGACCCATTGTCAATTTGCCATTTAAAAAAAACTGTACTGGGCCGGGTATGATTTTAGCCCTACTGGCTAAGGTGTACAAAGGGGGCCATTTTGTACTCAGGAAATATAGCTGAGAATAATTTAGTGATTTAACGTACAGTAGCATATATCAAGTTTCCAAAATTAACCACCAAAATACGTGTGTATAAAAATGCAAAAATAAAACAATATGATAAAATTTGAAAGAAATTGGTGCTAACTGTATAATGAAGCTCAAAATATACCATATGACATAGCCTGTGGTGTCTAATTTCACAAATGGTATGCATTTATGGGGTAATTTTAACTGTTAAACTGATACAATGCCCTAAAATGTGATATAGACACACCAAATCCATTTATCAAAATTCTAATTGTAAAAACTGTAATGGTCAGGACTCTTTTTTTAAGGCACTGTAGCGTCACATGATAGTGACAAAGACATATATTGGGGGTATTGCTTTATTCAGAAGAGTTTGCGGAGCATAATTATGGTAATTTGATCACAGTGGCACATACCAGACTTGAAAAATGACCCCCAAAAATGTAACATTTATGTAAAAAATGCAAAAAAATATTATTTTACCACAAAGTTTGACATAAACTTGTGAAAAAATGGCATCACATTAAGGCACAATATACACCATATGAGATACACTGTAGTGTCTACTTTCACCAATGGTAGGTCATTGATGGATAAATTCAACAGTTAAACTGCTACAATGCCCCAAAATGAGACTTGCCCCAAATTTCTAAGTTATGGAACAAAATTATCACTGTGAAAACTGAAATGGTCACGTCTCTTTTTATGGCACTGTAACTTCACAGGATAGTAGCAAAGGCATATATTGGGGGTATCGTTTTACTCAGTTGATATGGCTGAAAACAATATGGGGTTTTCTACAGCAGTAGTATATATCAGCTTTATAGAATACACATTCAAAATCCTTGTTTTGTGTGTGTATGTTAGAAATCTGAAACAAACACAATTTTACTACACTGTTTAGCAGAGATTGGCGGCAAAATGACTACGTTAAGTGTCAGAATACCCTTTGTCAAATAGCCTGTGATGTGTGCTTTATATAAATATATACTTTTGTGCATCAATTTTGCTTTCTGTGATGGCTATTAAGCTTACAAGACAAACATGCCAAATTCTAAAATAGCTCCACATTAAAATTTTATTTTACTCCTTGTGTTTTGTGACCTGTAACTTTTAAAATAAGCTGAAATCCTAGACATATTATGTACTCTGAAAATCAGAACAAATAATTGAATATTTTTTTAAATTACTTTCCTTAAGCTGCACTTATTATACACACTTTATTATTGCCTAAACTGAAAAAAAACTTTTTTTTTATAATAAGAATTTATATATATGTGTGTGTCACATCAGATTAAAACCCTTTTTGTCCTTTAAAAAAACGATATATAACATGTGTTGGTGCAATCAATTAGAAAAATGCAAACGGAGGTTGAACACAAACAGCAAAAAATGCTTGTGTCCTTTAGGGTTAGTCCAGTTTTTGAAGCTGCGTCCTTAAGGGGTTAATGAAAATTGTTTTAAAAAGTATTTGTTTACAATACTCACAAAGTATACCCCATTTGGATTGTCTTATAATTTTAGAAAAATCTGTAAATTTATAAGTGTCTTAATCCCTACATCTGGATGTCACCCCCCACCAGTAACAAACTCTGGGCTTCACATTAACAGAATCCTTGCTGACAATGGATTTCAATTTTTATATAGCATTTTAGAGAAATCTGTAACTCGTAGTTCTTGTCTTGTAAGAGGCATCACCCCCTGCAAATTCTCATAATGCATGGATTACATTTCTGAATCAGGGAGACTTAACTAGTGGTTGTGCATGGAGGGGGAGGGTATGTATGCAGTGTTTATGGATAATCAGAGCATACAGAATGCTTGTTTCTTTCTGGGGGATCTCTGGGATCTGAGGACTGCATTTGTAGAATAGCAGACGACCAGCGATGCATGTGGGGATCAGACACTGGGGGGTTGCTGGCTCCCTTGTGGATATGGGGGGGGGGGGTGGTGGTGGTTGACCATTTCAGTGTTTGTTTAATAACAGAAGAAAGTCAAGCAATTAATTCAGTCAAGCACATGATCATTCTCTATCTGTAATGCTGCTCTTGTACCTTACATGAGGCCAGAAAACCATTAGACAGTGCAGAGGTTAATATAACCTTTACTGTATAGAGACATATCCCATTGATGGCTGCAAAACACACTTAACCCGTTCACTTCCTCAAAAATGTTTATTGCCCATTTAAGGACACCTTTCATTAAGAGCTTCCATGTGTGATGCCCTACCATTTCAGCCCTAAGTACTGGAGACACCTGAGGTTATTGTTTGGAGTTTTTATTTTTATTCAGACCAAAATAGAAGTCGCCTTGTTAGTGCCAGTCATGAGTCATCTGTGGATTTTCTGGAAGGTAATGGGTTATAATAATGCAAAAAACTAAATTTAGATGATGAATACAAACCTATTAAGTTAGTGCAGTTACAATTCTTTAATAATAAGTATTTGGAGGTAGTACAGTGACTGTGTACACAACTTCACGTTTTTGTCAATCTGCGCCTCCACCCACTTTATTTATTTTTTTAATTTAGTTTATTTTTTTTCTAAATTTCATCCCTCTCCCCACCCCCATTTTGTAATGTGAGCAATTGTCAACGAAAACATTGCTGTCATAGCTCAGTGCCAGTACACGAGAGGGACACAGTTTGCTGTTGGGTAGGAGCCATACTGAAAACCTTTCCTTTGAATTTATTCCCCATTCTCTACTTTGCTGTAAATCCCAAACATTTTTGTGAAGTACGAAATTTCTCTTTCGTAGTTTGCTGGAATTATTCTGTTTGAAACATCATCTGAACTTCACTCCTACCAACTGAGGTAACAAACCGAAAGACACAAAATGGCAAAAAGATGTGGCAGCAAACTTAAGGAGAAATGGCAGTGTTCAAACAAAATGTCAGAAATGTGGTAATTGGCTGCACTCTATCAATTTCAGAACCCAGTCTAGGAGAGTTGTTGTGTTGTCGTCTTTTTTCTCTCTCTCTCTCTCTCTCTCTCTCTCTCTCTCTGTCTCTCTCTCTCTGTCTCTCTCTCTCGTCTGTCTGTCTGTCTCTCTCTCTCGTGTGTCTGTCTCTCTCGTGTGTCTGTCTCTCTCTCTCTCTCTCTCGTGTGTCTGTCTCTCTCTCTCTCTCTCTCTCTCGTGTGTCTCTCTGTCTCTGTCTCTCTCTCTCTCTCTCTCTCTCTCGTGTGTCTGTCTCTCTCTCTCTCTCGTGTGTCTGTCTCTCTCTCTCTCTCTCGTGTGTCTGTCTCTCTCTCTCTCGTGTGTCTGTCTCTCTCTCTCTCTCTCGTGTGTCTGTCTCTCTCTCTCTCGTGTGTCTGTCTCTCTCTCTCTCTCTCGTGTGTCTGTCTCTCTCTCTCTCGTGTGTCTGTCTCTCTCTCTCTCTCTCGTGTGTCTGTCTCTCTCTCTCTCTCTCTCGTGTGTCTGTCTCTCTGGGGAGGAATGAAGCCCTGGAATCAGGGAGTCTGTAGTTTGCTGTTTGGTCTGGCATGGTCTCTCTTTGAAATCAGATCACTCTCAGCCCTGCTTTCCTGAGGAGGTCCCTCTGCTGTTAAGGAGAAGGAGTGGTGATAATACAGAGTTTGCTTTTTTGCTGGCGCCAGATTGACTGTTTATCTGGAGATCTCGCCAATTACAGCTGCTTTCTTAAAGCTGCAGTCAAGCTCTTCCTCCCCCCTCCTCTCTTGTTTGGGGGCTCTGTCCACACTGTAAAAAGCTTGGTGTGTAGAGCCAGACCCTATAATAATTTCCTTCTTATCTATCCCTCTCTTACCAATTTATTTGCTTGTTTTTCTCCCTGTCTTATTTTTATTTATATAACAACCCATTCTGCAAAAATCTAATGTCTAGATTTTTTTGGATTTGTTTCCCTCTTATGGTCATAAATTGACATTATGAAGTACTTTTTAAAAATCCTATTGAGTTTTATTTGCTAAACAATTAATTTTAATAAGCGGACAGTCACCCACCAGTTGGATCGAATTTTTATTTTATTTTTTTCCAAACAAAATTGAACAATACCGGTTTTAATGCAAGAATATCAGGACATCCCAGCATACCCATTTAATAATATGAGCCAGATATAAAAATTGGCATTTTATTTTGATCATTTATATTCTACTGATATGCAATATGACACTAAGGTTTTATTTGTATGCTTCTTATTTTCCAGAGTCCCCACCCCCACCGTATTCACGCCTTTCACCAAAAATTGAACAGAAGGAGCTAGGTGAGTACACCAGCTTGGTGCCATTTTAATATTCATTAGAATAATATTATAAAACTGCTTCACTAATCTAAAGTTGTTGTTGTTGTTTTGGTGCTTGGTGTCTAGATCATGCCCGCGCAGTTGCACTGCTCCGTTCTCTGCCATTTAGGAGTTAAAGTGACACTATAGTCACCAGAACCACTACAGCTTAATGTCTGGTGTCTATAGTATGTCCCTGCAGTCTCAGTAATGAAGAGGCAGTATTTACAATGCTACACAGTAACAAGTCAAGTCTAGTGACAACCACTAGAGATGCTTCCTATTTCAGTGCTGCATGGTGTGCAGCACCTCAGTTCATAGTCTCTATGCGCTGCATGTTGGTCTCCATAGAGATGCATTGATTCAATGTATCACTGAGTATAAGCTCATTGGTGCAACGTTTTGGAGCACCTGTGCAATAATTAGCCTTCTTATACCTTTCAGCCGTGAAGATGGGGCCAGCAGCAGCGACACCAGCACTGTGTGTGTGTGTGTATATGTATGTATGTGTGTGTGTGTGTATGTATGTGTATATGTATATGTATATGTGTATGTATATATATATATATGTGTATGTATATGTATATGTGTGTGTGTATATATATGTATATTTTTTATTTTTTTTTTTTTGTATGTGTACATTGGCATTTTTATTCACGGTAATAAAAGTTAATTTTTAATTAAGTCACTGGAGTGCTATCCTTTTGAACTTCTTTTTGTATTTTTGGCTGGACAAGCACCGGGCATTATAGTAATTTTGGTGGAATGCAGGATTTTTCAGACACAGTTGTGGTAGCCCTGCTCCCTTAAAGGGGACCAGTCATGCACCAAACAACTTCTCCTCATTAGATTGAGCATGAGAGTCTGCCCATTCATTGTGTTATCAGTTTTGCTAGGAGAAAAACCTATTTAAAAACAGGTGCTCCTCACAGCTGTCAGACAACGCCTTGGCAAAATAGAGCAGTAAAGACCTCCCGCAGGAGGTTCCTCTGCTCTCCACCCATAGCAATCTCAGTGTATGCGTTGTGGTTGCTATGGAAGTTCCCTAGCCGGCAATTCTAGGAACATAGTGATGTGATGTCACTCCGTTCTCACGGTGGCAACATAGCCAACATGCTGACATCACTAAGCTTTGTCCTGCTTGGCAGTGCGTCCCATTACAGGGCAAACCAAAGAAGACTGCGGGAGGGAGTACGGCCTGGTGGGTATTGCACGAAAAGGAAAACTCGTGAAGCAGTGCTGGAACGAAGGAATGGTTAATAAATCAATATATTTTACACTGAATATACAATGCATCTTTGTGTTATATGGTGCATTCAATGTATATGGAAGCAATATCAGGTAAGTTACATTTTTCTTTACATGTTCACTTTAATTCCAGTAAAAAAAAAATAATGCAACTAAACTTAGCAGAGCAGGCATAGGTAGGACTCTTGTTCTTTTCCTTATTACCAAATAACTAAATCAAACTATCAGTGTTTTCCCCACCTGTCATTTTAGAACCCATGTTCTGGTTTATACCACATCTTATGGGGGTTGGTGCCATTCCTTTTTCCAGAAAGAGATAAACATGGGTATCTTTCTGCCTTACTGTGTTCACTAATCAGTCTGATAAGCTTACTTAGACAAGCTTAATCTCCCTGGATTCCTATTGTCTCCTTGTGTAAATATTATTATTCACTTTACTTCCCTAAACTAATTGCTCAGTCTCCATTAGTCAAACAAAAGATTGAAAAAAGTGTGCATTAGTGCACATAGTGTGCAAGCCCAGTAAATAGGTACAAATAGTAAATGTCAAAACCCTGCCTTTTCCTGCAACGTACAAATTGTATCTGGAGCCAGACCATAAGAGTCTGGGACTATGAAGCGCTTCAGACTGTGTTTTTTGCCTTCTTTTGATCACAAAAAAAAAAATATATATATATATATATATATATATATATATATATATATATTTTTTTTTTTTGAGGAAGGCTGAACTTGATGGATGCAAGTCTCTTTTCAGCTATGTAAGTGTGTAGGCCTAAGGCAAAAGTGTTCAAAGTAAATTAATATTTAGCTGCTGCTGATTAAATAACTAAACATTCTAAAAGTACAGTTTTTATTTTTTATTATTTTTGTTGAATATCCACAAATACACTTCAATTGGTGAAAGTACTCCCAGAAATATTACAAATTCTTTTATCTGTATAAAAATAGACTGCTTTCTTTGGCCTGTCTGCAGTTTGAGGCAGACACCCCTTCAACACTAGGATACGACACATCTGATTTAAAACACTCTCACTATCTGGGGTATTTGCATAATTGGCAAAGACCTCCGTTAGTGACATTGCCGCGGCGGGTCTTGTGGGGGGAAAGTACAATTTACTTACCGGATACTGTCATTCATGGGCATCGCCATCTCCTGTCTGGTTCTCGTCAGCTGCCAAGAGTCATCGTTTATACTGTACTCTTGCAGGGATCCTCCATAGAAAGACCCCCATCCAGCCATCACCGTAATGAGTGAGGCAAATGACAAGCTTGTCAAAAGGTAACTCTCCCTTTTTGTCAAGCATAGAAAAAATACTGAGACAAAGTAGTCCCTATTGTGACTGGATTGGAATTTCAGTGAATTATAGTTTAGTCTTGTAACGATTGTATACATTATTACACCAAGACCTGAGAGTTTGTGAGATTGAGATATCTCAATCTATAATGCATTGCTAAACACAAATACACACACCAGTCAAGCCATAAGACTTGCTTTTCCCATAGAAATCTCACTTTAACAGTGCTCTCACTACTGCAAGGGATTCTGGGTAGGCATGTACAAATGAGCTCAACAATGAGCCACATTTTTTGCCTCCTAGTTCCACTTTTTATAGTTGAAATCCCTTGGAGTATGTCTGCTGTATACAACAGCTTTGCAACACAACTTGGGTAGAGGAGCAAAGCCAGTGAACCATTCATTGTTGGGGGAGGGGGGAGTGTGTGTATGTGTATATGTATGTATGTATATATATATGTATGTATATATATATGTATGTGTGTGTGTGTGTGTATATATATATATATATGTTAGTGTAATAATGTATATAAGCTTTACAAAATATAACACTAGGTCCTGAGAGTGTATACACACATACATATATATATATATATATATATATATATATATATATATATATATATATTTATTACACACACACACATATACACTCTTACATTATTATATTTTGTAAAGCTTATATACATTATTACACTAACTCTGTCTATCTATATCTTTGATATTCTGTTGCTCTCTGTTTTTAAATTAAAGTTAGGATTTCATCTAAGATGGCGTGTTCAATAATCTTTCATCCTGGCAGTAGGGCAACGATATCTTCCTAGACCTAGAGGCTATGTTTGCTTTCAGCTCCCAGATTTTGAGAATTGGTGAAATGTCACATTTAATTAAGCATTTATTACATATTACTTGTTACTTATTTTGAGTCTTGGGTGAATTTTTAACCTTCACTTTTTGTTGAAAAACCTAGAACTTTCTGTGTGAGTAACATAGCAAGGTTTTTTAATTTATTTATTTATTTTTTATTTCAAGGGTTAATAATATTTAAAGTGTGTTACTTAAAGGAGAAGGAACAATGTCAGCGACTTGTTAAAACAAAGTTGCTTGTGCTTCAGTAGCGGAGGGGAGGAAGGAAGGAAACCTGCAAGAATAAACAGCTTCAAGAATGTTAATGTGGGTAATTAACTATGGTAACTATGAAGCATTTAAAGGCTTCGTGTAACCCTATCCTTAGAGTGCCGTGTCCCAGCCTGCTTAGTGGCCAGGGCAGTTGAAATTGTACATGCTACAGACAAGAGGGGGTGGTTGGTGGGTGTAACAGGAGGAGGGAGGGCATGCAGACCCTGCAGGCAGAGCAGCTCCCTGGAAGGCGAGTAGGTGACATTGCTGGAATCCTGGCTGTTCACCTGGATTAGAGATGCTTTTATAATTTGCAAGCCCCATTCTGTACAGTTCCAATTATGTTCTCATGACACATCTGGTCCTGGAATGGCATCAGATTAAAATCATTATTTCTGTCTCTTGATGTTTCTTTATAGATGACTTTCTTTATTGTAAATGCAGTTAAAGGTCAGGCATGCACAGTTAAATTAAAACACTTATTTTCTACTGCCTTTGTTTATTTTATTTTTTTTTAAGTATGCAGAACAGAATTTCCCAACTTTTTTTTTTTTTTTTTTCTCTCTCTCTAACCTGGTTTCCATCCCGCAGCCTGCCTGCTTCCAAGATGATACCTTTTGTGGAAAAACTATACTACATACTGTACAGAAGAATTATCCTAGTTAAAACACACCTGCAAAAAAATGTATTGCTGGTATCAGTGATTTTACTACAAAATAATCTAGTCAGGTCCTTTTACTCATTGCCACACTTTCTGTTTTCTAGATTTTTCTGATTCATACACTGAAATGGATGCATCATGCTCTTTGCGTATCCCTGTTGGAGATGTTTCAGGTATTTTTCTTTCTTTTTTTTTTTTTTTTTTAAAGCGTTGTACCTGCACTCATTGAATTATACATCTCTACAATTGGCATTGATTTTGTTTGGTGGTATATTAAATCTTTGATCTATTGCAAGTCCCTTCCCTTCTCAGGCACATAATAATCACAGCACATAGTAATTCCAGGCTTGTTGTAGAGAAGCCATGTGCATGGCTGTCCTATCACATACTTCTAAGTGAGCCCAATGAGAAGTCTTTCAAAAGCAAGCACTCTGCCTGATAAACTGAAGTTTGGAGTGTTCCTTTACCTCGATTAGAATTTGAGAAATTCTGTTAAATGCAAGCTTAATTCTCTTTATCACATTATCCAGTTGCAGAGTTTTGCTCAAACATTAAAGAGAATCTGCTATATGCTGCTTTGCCTTTTTAAAATTTATTTATTTTTTAAAGGAACACTAAACGGTCAGGAACACAAACATGTATTCCTGACCCTATAGTGTTAAAATCACCATCTAGCCCCCCAGGCCCTTCATGCCTCCATAAATATAGCAAAATCTTACTTGTATTCAAGCCAGAAGCTGTAACTCTGTATGCTGTTAGACACAGAAAAAAAAGCAGTTTGCTGACATCAGAAGTGGTGGCCTAATCCAGTCACAATGCTTCCCCATAGGATTGGCTGAGACTGACAAAGAGGCAGATCAGGGGCAGAGCCAGCACAATTCAAACACAGCCCTGGCCAATCAGCATCTCCTCATAGAGATGAATTGAATCAATGAATCTCTATGAGGAAAGTTCTGTCTGCATGCAGAGGGAGGAGACACTGAATATTTGGATGCATTTTAGGCAGCCATGACCCAGGAAGGATCTCTAACCGCTATCTGAGGAGTGGCCAGTGAAGTTCTCACTAGGCTGTAAGGTAAACACTGCATTTTCCCTGAAAATACAGTGTCTACAGCAAAAAGCCTGAAGGTAATGATTCTACTCACCAGAACAAATACAATAAGCTGTAGTTGTTCTGGTGACTATAGTGTCCCTTTAATCACCAATAAAATATGTAATTGCTCTGTTCCAGAAGCATTCCTTAGAGAAGCATTGCGGCTATAAGGCACATATGTTGTAATAGCTGTGCTAGTCAATCTGTTTCTCCTCATAGAGAAGCATTATCCTAATGTTTCTCCAAGGCCAGATTTAGCTGCGTTTTGACGTCATGATGCTTCATGTGACAGCCTTCTAAAATTGAAGGCACTCCAGGGAGAAGTGCATCTAGTGCTCAGGTTCCCAAACTTTTTTCAAAGAGGGCCAGATTTGATGAAGTGAAAATGCGTGAGGGTTGACCATTTTGCCTGACATTCTTTGAGCCATTAAAATTAAATGCAAACTAACTATTTTATGCAAAATTTATTGCAAGCGGCATACATTTCATCTCTTTTTTTCTGTCCCTTCTCTCTTTTTTTCATTCTGTCCCTTCTCTCTCTTTTTTTTTTTTTTTTATTTATTTTTTTTATTCTGCCCTTTCATTCTGTACCTCCCGGGAGAAGAAAGAGATCGCAAGAACTCAGACTGAGGACGAGCAGTGACTGCACGTCCATCTGCATTCTCGCGATCTCTTGGCACCCAGTGAATCCCCGCGCGGCGTTCAAAGATCGAGGGATCCTCAGCAGCGCTCGGGGATTCACTGGGGGACACAACAGATAGGATTAGCAAAATAACCTGTGGGGCCATATAAAACAGGAACACGGGCTGCAAATGGCCCATGGGCCGGACTTTAAACATGACTGATATAGTGGTTGACACAGGGCCACCATCAGGAGTTGACAACCATGATGGTTGTCACGGGCCTGGCCGCCCGAGCCCAATGTGTAGCGGCGGAACTGCCACCTGGGCCTGCACGCTGAGGTGGCCCAAGCATTTTAGGGCCACCCGATGGGCCCTATATCTTCAGGGGCCCGGAAAGCGCAACCAGGCCTCTTTTAAAAAATAAAATAAAAATACATTATAAAGCCTTCCCACACCCTACAATTTGACTCAGAGCGCTCTGGTTGGTTTAAGCCAACCAATAAGAGTGCTCTGATAGGTAAATAGTGAGCCAATCCGGTAACCAGTTAAACTGGATTCGACCATGACAGTGCTGCTTTTAGTCTATGTAAAAATATAGACATGTTATTGCAATATGTAATAATAGAGTAATGGCAAAAAATGAAACTTGAAAAAGGTGTGTGTTTTGTTTTTTTTTTGTTTTTTTGTACACTGGATTTGTCTGCAACACACATGATCCTTGTAACTGCAAATACAGCTTGGTTCATTATTTAGTGAACTGGGTTGTGTTTTACTGTCAGAAGAGTAATCGACTGTGCATGTGCAGTCCCCAGTTTTGTTCTCTCCAGGGAGGAGAAAGCACCTTCCCTAATGTGTGCGTGTCACGCATGTGCAGTAAGGACAATATTGACACAGGTAGCCTGAAACTAATTATTTTGGACTGCTTGAGACGGAATATATCCCTTACTATGACTGGTTTTTTTTTAATATTAATGTCGCCTCTTTTCTTGGAACTCCATATTGTTGGTGTGTTTAACAGCTCCACAGCAATGATACTCACAGTGCTGTGTGTTTAGAAATCCATCCATGTAAATAACAAATACTGTTCTAAGTTTGTTTGTTTTAGCTGCGTACATTGTACTTGGTCACCTAAAATTTCCCAGAACTAACCTGCCTATGACCACACCCCTAAAATTAAAGTTTCCCTCTTTGTCCATGTGAAATTTTGGGAGGTATGTGACGGCACTGGTGGGATGTCTTGTAGTGGCTGCAGTTTTTTCAAATCACTGCCACTATAAGCCATTCTGCCATGAGTTGGCACAGAATGCTTTAATCACCATACACTCTGCAGTAATGCAACATGCTTCTTGTGTTCAGACAGACCCATGAAAGCAGGCTTCCCCAAACTCTGGCCCTCCAGATAGTGCTGGAACTATAGATAGGCTATCTACTTCATTCATAGACTCATGGGAATTGTAGTTAGCAACATCTGGAGGGCCGGAGTTTGGAGAAGCCTGCTTTAAAGTATAAAAAAACAGGGTATTAAAAAATCCCCTGGATTTGAAACTGATACCAAGTTCAGCAAATCTTCATTGCAATAGTGCTTTATAAATAAATTATAAGTAATGGCATCGGGCAGTGTCCCTGACCCTGTTTCTCATCCCTTTCCTCATCTTCCCTTGCACCTTTCTTTTAAAAACATGTGTAGATAGTATGAATAACCTGTGCAAGTTCCCCCCCAATTTAAAAAAAAATGTTAAACGCAAGCAAAAGATTGGAAGAGGGAAGTCTTCCCATTCCATGCGTGTAATGTTGGACTTGTATTTCATATTTCTCTACTCTAGTAGTTTTTGTTTTTGAAATCCTTAAATGTGTTTGACTGGTGGGAAGATTGTCCAAGGTGTCACATGTTGTAGTTATAGTGTCTGGTCCTTATGGACTGTTCTACTTATAAAGGCACTGGAATGGTTATTTGATAATTTAAGATATTTTTGGCGATAGACTGAACATGAGGCGTGAAAGAGAGGTTGGAGTCAGAGAGCACCTAGGCAGTGAGCCTGCGTTGTGGAGCTGATGGTAGCACCGTTGACTTGGAGGGAGACAGACACAGGAGTAGCAACACTTGAGGGAGGAAAGACCAGAATTTCAGTTTTGGTCAAGTTGAGTTTAAGGAAGTGGGCATCCGGTTAGAAATAGCAGAGAGGCACTGGGAGAGGTAGGAGGAGTACCAGGAGAGAGCAGTATCTTGTAGACTGATATTGCGGAAGATGAGAAGGTGTTGATGATCAACAGTGTCAAAAGCCGCAGAAAGGTGAAGGAGAATTAGGATAGAGTAGTGACCACAAGATTTTGCAGCTAGTAGCTCATTGGATACTTTGGTCAGTGCCGTTTCTACAGAGTGCTTAGCGCGGAAACCAGACTGAAGCGGGTCTAGCAGAGAGTTGGACTCTAAGTCTGTCAGTCTTGCATACACAACGCTTTCAAGGATCTTGGATGCAAAAGGCAGTAGCGAGATAAGATGGTAATTGGATGGGGAGTTAGGGTCAAGGCTGGGCTTCTTTAGAATTGTGGTTACAGTTGCATGTTTGAAGGGCAATGGAAATATGCCAGAGGGGGAGAGAGATTGAGAATTTTAGTGAGAGGTGGAGAAGAAGACAGAGTACGGATGAGATGCGAGGGAATTGGGTCTAGGGAGCAGGTGGTGGGGTGGGAGGACTGGAGCAGAGCAGAAACCTCTTCTGCTGTAGTGGGTGCGAATGAACATAGCAGAGTTTTTCTCTCTAACTTGCTGTCCTGTTTTTGTTTTTCTCTGTTATTCAATGTCAGTCTTGTTTTCTACCTGTTTCTCTATTACAAATGTTTGCAATCCTGCTTTTGTGTTACTTTTCTGTCTATGATGAGTTGTAAGTTCCCTTCACACTTTTGAGCCACTAACTAGTTTATCCCTCTTCTCCCCCCAACCCCACAAACATTTTTTCCCCCATCTATTTATGCATTAATTTGTATGCCAGCTTTCCTAGTAGATTGGTCAGCGCTGGAGAGGAGGGAGGAATAAGTTCCAGGACTTCCACATTGCTTAGCCTATGTTTTGGAAGAGGCTCCTGTGGGATGTTTATTTGAGGGTAGGGAAACCTCAGCCAAACATCCTGCTTTTATCCTGCTTCTAAACTAAACCACTGGAGAGAGCAGACCACAGGATTGTGACTACATGAGGGTTGCTGCCTATGTATATGTGTTTGTAAGGAATTCATGTGCATAGAACACTTTAGACTTTAAGCTATAATGAACTTTTTTCATGCAAGTTGGCTTGCATATACTTTTTTTTTTTATTACAAGTTATGGAGCAAGAATTTATATTGGCTCTATATAAATGATAAAATAGCAACTCAGAATGTTAGTTAGAAAATTACATAGTGGAAGAGAAACAAAAGCTGTTTCTTTAAAATTGACATTACTGGTAGTAAAGGGACACTATAGTCACCACTACAGCTTATTGAATTTGTTCTGGTAAGTATAGGCTTTTTGCAGTAAACATTGTCTTTTCCGAGAAAATGCAGTGTTTACATTACAGCCTAGGGATAAGTCCACTGGCCATTCCTCAGATGCCTACTAGAGGTGCTTCCTGGGTCAGTGCTGCACACTGGGTCCTGGGCCTACATTGCCATATAGGAGCTTGTATGGCTATGATAACCAATCCCTGATCATTCATTTAAATTGGATAATTTGTGAGTGTACATGCTCACAAAGTTCTTATCGATGACATTTACATTGAAAACATATCATGCTCTTTTCGAATAAATGGTCAATGTCAGAGTTTACACATTGGCACTCTTCCAGTATGTTCTGCATAATTTATAGTTTGGCTATGTGATATGAACTATATACAGTGGTGTTTTATTTAAAAAAATAAATAAAAATAATATAGTTTTAATACACAGTCCATCCAAAGCAACAAACAAAGTTGTGCCATTTAGACAGGGATTAAATAAAAAGTATGAGCCTAGTGATTCATAACTGTGTGTTGAAGCATGGACTCCTACTGACCGGTTCATTACATTTACAAAATAAAACCTATTCAATCTAAAATATGCAGAACTGGTGAAATAAACATGTATCCAGGGGGGACAGGCTCTGTAGTTTATCCTGTCATACATATCCTTGACGTTTCTGTGTTACATAAGTGTCTGGAGTCAAAGGGGTTACCCTGCCCCCTTCTCTCTCAAAAATTGCCAGTAAATTGGGAAGATTTAGGATGTGCGCTCTCTGCAGGAGCAGTCTCTTTCCTCTGTCAGACACAGTATCCTTTGATGTTCTCTCCAAGACTCTGTCACAGACTTTCCAGTTCGTTCAAGCAGGAGGAACCGAGAACAGATCAGAAAACATACAGTTCTCTTGTGTAGAGTGGATGCTGTCTTGGGCTTGCTCAGTTATGGCCAATGCAGGGCCTAAAAGCCTAATATTCTTGTTTTCCCTAGTAGAGGCTCAGAACAGTGATTCCCTCGCCTAGGCACCCCACGTGTTTGTGGATCTAAAAGCTGGCTGAAGATCTGCTTTAGGGGGATTTCTGAGAGTGGCTGAAAGCCACCTAATGACTCCCAGTCCAGACTAACAGAGGACAGGAGATTGCTATCTTTCATTTTATACTAGTACTAGGAAGGCTGAATAATGTGATAGGCAGATATTTTGGAATTAAAATCAAAACTAGAGTGATTGTTCTATACAGGCAAGCTTTTCATGTTCCAACCTCTTTTTTTAAGATGTTTCCTAATTTACTGACTGTAGTTCGGGTTCCCTTATCAGCCGGGTCAATTCTGCCTTTTATCCTGTCAATTTTAAATTGATTACCATTGAGTCAGGTAATAAGAACATTTATTAATCTGCTGCTGATCCAATAAGAATCCTAGCATGTGCGATAAAGTGCTTTCAGCCTCCTTGGAAGCAAAAGTCAATGTTAAAAAAAAAAAAAAAGACTGTGTGACACTCTATAATATCCTCTGCTGTGACCCTTCCCCTTGGCCTACTTTCCTCTCAGTGGCCGCAGGATGAGATGGCTTCCTGTGTGAGGGGCCCTGGACAGGGTACAGAGTCTGGCATGTTAGACACCTTAATCAGGCTCCAGTTATCCTTCCACTGGCTTCTCTGGCTCCTTCTTATCTCTTCCTTTCCCTATTTTATCTCCCCCTCCCCTCCCCTGCTGCTTTCCTCCTATTAACTAAAAATGTGAACATCCTGCAGGAAAACCAGAACTAACCTTAAATGTTACCATGAGCTGTGCTGTTTGCATTCCGTGGGGTTTAAACTCCTGTCCACAGGTTCTTTAACTCTGTTCAGGCTGTAACATATTTGAGGCAGCACATTGCTGTTTTTTTTAGTTTTTTTTATTCTTCGATCACTATATTGTGCTGTGTGATGCTGATTTTTGCAGAGTCTTGTCAATCTTTATTCAGGACTGGGACATACGTGTGCAGGGATGCCTGAGGTCCATTTTATTCGCACTCCTGGACTCCAGTCATGTTGGCTGTTGTCATTATTTCTGGCCCCTTCTTTTACACATTAAATTGGAAGAGGTAGTGTCCCTCTCCGTCCCCCCCTCTCCCCTCCCCTTGGGCAAATTATTGCATACTGTGCAGAACAGTTGTGGTGCGTGTGTATATTTGTGTCTGTGTTCTACAGTGGGTGGGTTTGCAGGGAAAAATGTCTGGATTTCTAGCAGGAGGGGTGGAGGCAGAGTCAAACACTGCGCTGGCCAATCAGTATCTCCCCATGGAGATGCACTGAATCAATGCATCTGTACGGGGAAAGTTCAGAGCCTCCACACAGTGTTGAGACGCTGAACGTCGGTAGCACTGACCTAGGAATCACCTCTAGTGGCCATCTAAATGACTGCCACTTGAGGTTTCCCTTGGAAGCAATGAAAACCCTGTCTTTTTTTCCTGAAAAGGCAGTGTTTACATTAAAATGCCTGCAGTGACTGACTAGATCCACCAAAACTACATGAAGCTGGAGTTCTTCTGGTGACTAAAGTGTCCCTTTTAAAGATGCATATCGCTGCAGCTTGTGATAGGGGTAAATTTCAAGGTTCTGAAGTAATCACAAACCACAAGACTAAAAGTTTATGAATGTCTCCAGAAAAAAAGTTTATTATGGAAAAATGTCATTGAGGGATACTGGAGACGCAATAAACCACGAGACTAAAGTTAGTGGCTTTTAAATGGCTCTAGAAACAGAAATCATGTGATGGAGTATCATACAGTAAATCACAGGAAAGGAGAGAACTTTTATAATCGCTGTTCATGGCCAGGGGTTCCAATGCATTCAACTCTTATGTAAATTACTTTTGTTAAAGTAGTTTGTCTGTCCCCACATCTGAGGGGTGGCACCCCTTCAATAACCTGGAAGCGTAATTGTAAGCCTTTCACTGCACAAGTCTTACCAGTTCTGGGGTTTGTTAATGTGTCTCCTTTTATCACATTACTACTGGCACGTGCCAGGCATGGATAGGTACCTCTTTTTGATTTACTAAAGAATAGAGTAGAATGTCTAAGTTCATATATACAGTCTGCTCTAATAAGATGTTAAGTAATCTTTCTACTTATACCTTATCTGTATGTATCTATTGGTATGTTCTTGAATGGGAGGATAGCTATTCTGGAGTATATACTAATGCTTTCTAAAAATATTGAGGTTTGTTACTGTACCAAACTGTTCCAAAATGTAGTTTTTGAGGGGTAAAATGGGTCTAGTTCTGGTAGAATTAAAGGAACACTCCACTGCCCAAATACAAAATAAATAAAAAGCTGTTTTAGTAGTTGTATCCTAAATGAAAACTTGCATGCATTTAATTTTGCATTTCTTCATTGGAGTTGTATCCAAAATCGGCTTGCAAAACCTGCAGTGTTATCTGCTGCCTTGTGATCCTTCCCATTCATACCCCAGCCCAGACTTTCTGTGACTGTCCAATCACAGACTTCCCCATGCAGCTCAATGAGAAGACTTTGAAAGGCAGCTGCTCTGGGCAATTGCTGCCTCTTGAGTTCGGTGCAAATAAACTAACCAAACCAGGAATTAACAAGACCGGTTGTCTGCTTGAAAAGCCTAATTTATAAAAGTGTAAATGTACTTTTTCCAAAATAGAGGGAAAAATAAAAAAGGGGATGAGGGGTGAAGATGACACGCTTGTACGGATTGCTAAAACATGACATACCTGTTAAAAGAAATATGTATCTAAATCTACACACGTTCTTATAGCTATTTAAAAAAAAAAAAAAAGACTAACTTTTTTGTTTTGTTTCTATTTTATGCCTCTGCAGACACTAGCATGTCTCCTGACACGAATAAGCAAGGTCGATGGTGCAGCGTGGCATACTGGGAACACCGTACACGTGTGGGCCGTCTGTATGCGGTATGCCAGCCTTCAGTCAGCATCTTCTATGATCTACCTCAAGGGAGTGGTTTCTGCCTAGGTCAGCTGAATCTGGAAAATAGGAGTGAAGCGGCTGCCAGGACACGGGGAAAGATTGGGCTAGGCATTGTGCTGAGCCGTGAGCTGGATGGGGTTTGGGCATACAACCGCAGTGACCATCCAATCTTTGTTAACTCTCCCACATTGGACTCGCCAGCGTGCCGCCCTCTTGTTGTGCGTAAGGTAATGCCTGGATATTCCCTCAACGTTTTTGACTATAAGAAATCCTGCATACTGCGACATCTCCCCGCTCCAACTGAATATGCTGATGGACCTTATGACCCACATAGTGTGCGTATCAGTTTTGCCAAGGGTTGGGGACCCTGCTACTCCCGCCAGATGATCACCTCTTGCCCTTGCTGGCTTGAGGTATTACTTGGACGATAGTGATGAAACACTAACTCCCTGACGCAGTGTACACCCAAGGAAGGATCTTCACTCCAGAGAGATCAATGAGTGCATGAGGCCCCACTGTTTTACCTCTTCACTGCCATATAGGCATGCAATAATTTGCTGTTCTACACACAGCACTGCACAGTAACATATGAACAATGCATGGCATGTCTCTTTGTTGGAAGATGTGATCCCCTGTCATTATTTCACAGAATTCAAAAGGAATAGCTATCACATGGGATCCTCTGCATTTCTTCTCTTCCCATCACGCAGTGGCTGCATCCCTCTGTAACAGACATGCTGGAATATCCGTGCACTGCAAATGGTTCTGGTGTGGATGCAGATACCTGTATGCCACTATGTGCTCAGACAGCCCCTCTCTTCTTATTGCCATATTGCAGAAATCCAGGTGCCATATTAATTAACAGTTTTCCTCTAGTAGGGACCTTGTGTGCCTTGCTTGAATTTTTATTTTATTTTACATTTTTTTAATTTTATTTTTAAAGTGCTGCTTTGCAATGTTTTGCATTCCCCTGGCAGAGTTATTCTCCATGACAACAATTTACAGTGTAAATCCATCTTAAAAGACTCTTGCTGAAATACAATGTCCTAGATTTAATATAAATTTGTTTATATATTATATATATTATATGGAATTATATTATACCTGTAAATATGGAGTCATTTTTACAATGTAATTATTTATGTTACAGTGCAATGTGTATATGAAACAAAGATACAATAAAATGCACTTTGGCTTTTATGATTTTATATATAAATATATTTTCACTAATGCAGCTTGAAGGTGTTTTCAGTGAAAGTATGGTGCAGAATTACTTGCCGTGTTGTTGTTTGTGCTATAAACTACCGTATACTTCTGGACTGATTTGACTTGATGACAGCGCTGTATGTTGATAATTCAAGGTGAGGGCAGGTATGCCTTTTTTGAGTGTGGCTATGTCTGTGGTGAACACCCTTAAATGCTTCTATTCAATATAGCCTTTCTCCATAGGATGACAACCACCACTTAGGTATACACAGTGCAAGCATAAGGACCAATGACCATTCCTATAATGTAGAATAAGAATGTTGAATCAATGGATCAAAGTCCTATTCAAAATCACAGCTTGCTGGAGAATGCGTTTCCAATTTGCCTCTCGGTGTAAAATTTTGAATTCCCTGAAAAATTCTCATGAATTTACAGGCTAATTTGTAACTGACATTTCTTTTGGCCAGTTTGAGTTCATGCAGGCTAATTAATGGAGTTTTGGGAGCTGGATATATACACTCTGGTCCTACAGCCAGCAAGTAACATTGCCTGGTTCCTAAAACCTAGTGCTGTTTTTAGACAACTGCCATATTTCATGCTGCTTACAGAACACTGTATACCCATAAGACATCTCCCTTAATTTTATCTGTTGTCCTATGACACTATTTTGCTGTTAGTTTTGAGTGACTGATTTAGTATTTACAAGTTCTGGAGGGCTTCTCTGGCATATTTTTGAAACCTTGATTCTATTATTACATAGCCTGTGTTCACAGGGCTAAGTTACTTTTTATGTGTTTGTGTTTGTGTTTGTGTTTGTGTTTGTGTGTGTGTGTGTGTGTGTGTGTATATATCCTTTTTTTTAATTTTTTTTTATTACATCATATTGAAAAGAAAGTCCAGTCTGTCCTTTAACCCCTTAATGATACATGACGTGTGACATATCATGATTCCCTTTTATTCTAGAAGCTTGGTCCTTAAGGGATTAAATATAATATGCAATTAAAACCCAATATTTATTTGTCTAACTTTCATACAATGTTGAGGAAGAACTACAAACTAAGTGTGCATGAATGGAGATGTGGCCTAGGAGACGCAAGGAGCGGGTTTGGAAGTTCAAAGGTGTATCGGCATGTTCTTTTGACGATTCATCAGTTTTAACGCAGCATATTGACATTTTATGCTCTAATTACACTTTGCTTCAGGTGACAGGTCTGTTTTAATATCTTTAAAATGACATTACTCATATGTACTTCCACCCTTGAGCACTTTGTGAGTGCAAGAGCACAGTAGCCAGCCTACCAACAAAACTATGGAGAGTTATTGTAGCATAGGTTGTAAGGGAATCTTCTTTTCTGCTGTAAGGCAAACATTTATTAAATATTCACCTTGAAAGATGAATTTTATTTAAAATGTACACAATTGCCACACTATACACGAGTTTTGCTCTTGTGATAATGAATATTCTAAAGTACAGGAAGCTTTTCATAGTCCTTTTCTTAAAGGGTTATTGCAACCACCAGGACCACTTATCTTTTTAGAAGTTCACATGGCGAAAGGAGTCTGTATGTGCAGGGTTTATGCGTGAAACGCTGCACATACGGAGATATTTACACTTGTGTTCCAGGGACTAGTTACACCCTGTCACCAATGACTTGAACAGCCTGGAAATCTCTTCCGAAATGCCAAATGTCAGTTCTGTGCAAAAGGAAAACCCATCCATTGCCGTGTGCTGGCAATGAAAGCTTCTCTTTCGCAGACAGAACATGAACGGGGAAAACATTTTTCTCCCCTACCTCCCTGCTTTATTTAAGTTGTAAACACCCTTTAATATGTTTTTGTTTGTCTTGTCATTTAGGCTAAAACCATTTCACCCCCACCCATTTCCCTTACTGACCCTAAACCAGCTTTGAGCGCATGCACACACTTTAATTGTCCAATCAAATGCTTCTTCTTGAGAAGCTTGGACCGAGGAGCTGAACTATAAAAGATACAGAACCGTTTTTCAAGAAAGGATTGTACTAACCCTTTAAATCCAAGTTTGTTTACCAGTCAAATTTACCCACAGTTCTTCAGTAAAAGCAATCCCACAAAAGTGCAAACAGCATTACAAAATCAAGATGGCTGCATCCAGATAATGAGATCTGGCACCAGAAACAAGAGGAAGAAATATAATTTAAAGGCAAGTAGCATGGGGTGTAGTATAATCCTAAAATACAGGGTGCATAAGAAAAGTAGAGAAAAAAGGGTGAAAAAACCATGACAAATTCACTGTAAAAACAGCTGCTCTGCATTACGTGAGAATGAGTTGATGACAGGGATAGGGGCAAAGCAAAATGTATTTTTCTCCATTTCACATTGAAGACAGATGAAGGATCTTTGCTTTGCAGTTTAGAAGCTGCCTTGAATTCTTTGGGAAACGCTTTACATTTTGATTGCCAGCCACACCATGCAGCAAAGGGACCAAAGCTTTCACAGCCACATTTTAAAGGCCACAATAAATGCCTCGAGGTGTATATGTGTGTGTATATGTGTGTGTGTGTGTATATATATATATATATATATATATATATATATATATATATATATATATATATATATATTTGTGTTTGTATACTTTTTTTTTTATTTTTTATTTTCTTTATAAACTGAAAGGGTATTGTCCAATTGGTGTGTGCTGTAAATTAAATACAGGAAACCATGAACTGCAGGGTCTACTTAAATCCGAAAAGGTGAGTTTATTGTGGGTTTATTTCGTTTTTGAATTCTCAAAATAAACTCCCCTGTTTATCTTGAGTACTGTTTTTTCATTGCATTAAAACTATATGGACCACATAGGCAATATTGTGTTTTTCCACCTCCAAAAAACCAAACCCAAAACAATTTTACATGTCTCTGAAGGTGAACTCGAAAGGAGAAGTGGGTGTCAGCTGTGGTTTTTTTTATTTTAACAAGTCGTCCTTGCACTGATTATTAGTTCTGGAATGCAGGATTAGTTCCCCAGCTCCTCCAATCTCTTTGAAAAGGTGAGTTTACTGACATCCTGCGGCTGAAATAATCAATTTTCTCTCGGCCAATCCGGTTCTTTCCCATTGGAAAGTATTGGGAGGCTATTGTGCATGCGTGGCAAAACACCATGTTGCGCCATTCAACATCTCCTTATAGAGATGCATTCAATCAATGCATATCTATGGGGAACGTTCTGTGCATGGAGGCACTGAATGCAAGTGCTGCTTACTGTACACCACTAGACTAACAAGCACTTCTAGTGGGCGTGTAAGTGACTGCCACTAGAGGTGTTACTAGCCTGCAATGTAAACCCTGCCTTTTTTTGCTGAAAAGGCAGTATTCAGACTGCGAAGGCTGCAGGGACATGTTATAGACATCAGAACCATTACAGTTACAGGGACACTCCAGTGCCAGGAAAACAAAATTTTCCTGGCCCTGCAGGTCCCCTCTCCCTCCCACCCCCCATCCCATGTTGCTGAAGAGGTGAAAATCCCTTTAGTGTCTTACCTGAGACCACCGTCGATGTCCCTTGGTGGTTTAGGGTCCGCCCATGCTCCTCCCCCGCCGAATTGCGCGGCCGCCTGCAGGATGAGACCTAATGCGCATGCTTTCCTATGGGGATCGTAGCGATGCTGGAGCACAGAAAACCTGTGCTATAGACCAGGAAGTGCCCTCTAGTGGCTATCTAGTAGACTGCACAAACATGGTTCAACACTGAATGGAGGGACAATGCCAGGGCACTCCAGGCACTATAACCAATTCAAAGAGATGAAATGCTTATAGTGACTACAGTGTCCCTTTTAAGTACACAGCCACTAGAGGAGGAGTTAACCCTGCAATGTAATTATTGCAGTTTATGAAAAGTGCAATATTTACAGTTGCAGGGTTAAGAGTAGTGGGAGTTGGCACCCAGACCACATCTGGAGTGTCCCTTTAAGCTGGAGTGGTGGCTATAGAGTTCCTGTAATGATCAAGCTTAATTTGCTTGTTTTTAAATGACTTTATGTAGCACTAGTCATACCTCCTTGCATGTAACGTGCGTGCGCAGCCTTCCTAAACACTTCTTGTAAAGTGAGATCTTCCTTTATTAAATAGTCTGTTTAATTTCAGATTTATCTCCTGCGCTGTTAGCTTATTGGACATCACAGGAGCTGCCATTTACAGAGCAGAAGAGGGGGGAGAGGAGGAGTCTGGTTCCATGCAGGCTGTGTGAGTCAGAGCCAGGGGAGGTGTGGCTAGGGCTGCAGGGGCAGAAACAAGTGAGTTAACTCCTAAATGTTAGAGAAATGTGTAGTGAGACTGCAGACATGATCTATACATAAAAACGGATGCTTTAATTTTGATATTGAAGCAGAACAGTAATACAGTAAGCATAACCATCCCATGTAACAACCACACTTGTCTCCCTCAGCATGTCACTTGTGACGGGCATGCATGGTCCATAATTTCCATACATCAGGAGCTACTTAAAGGGACACTGTAGTCACTATAAGCATTTCATCTCTTTGAATTGGTTATAGTGCCTGGAGTGCCCTGGCATTGTCCCTACATTCAGTGTTGAACCATGTTTGTGCAGTATGCCACAAAATAAGAGTCTCTGGCCACCCACAGTCTGGCCCCTTCAGTATGTGTAGCTAAGTCAGAGATTACACACTTCCTTGTTGTCATACCCATTCATACCGTCTGTTGGAACTCTGACAGGCTAAAAGCAGTCAGCTGACACTCTCAGCCAATCACAGCTGCCCATGATAATACTTCCTTATTAGAAAAAGCAGCACAGAGGGGATGGATTGCCGGGGACTCTTGTTTAGCATTAAAACATGAAAAACTTTAAAAACTGTTTAATGCTGATAGAAATGATGGGACCAGAGGACTCCAGACACTATAACCAGTTTAATGAAATGAAGCAGATACTGTGCCTACAGTGTCCCTTTAAGGAACCCTGGGATATCAGAGTGTGCTTTAGATTCCAGAGCCTTGTACGTAATCCATATCTAAGCACAATTGAAGGAAAACCTGTAGTTTGTTTGAAACACTGACACATTTAGATTTAATTCTTAGGTTCACTGTAAAACCCTTGAAATATTTTAACGTTTTGGAAACCATTTTCTTTGGTCAAACAATGTCTAATCTGCAATTTATGTCTGCAGATCTGTGAGCTCCATGTAGGATTGGGATGTAACAATACGGTTTATAAATAGCACCTGTCTGCGGCCTTTTTTATTTCCAGTTAATTTAGTTCTCATGGTTTATTTGAAACTAAGGTAACTTTGTTTCCTCAAAGTTCATCACATAGAAAAGGTCGCTTGGCTTATAAAGCAGTTAAGTCTCTGGGTAGCTGTGCGTGGCACTTTGCCAAGCGATTACTGGCACAATAGACAAAGACTTCAGGAGAGGCACCTCTGGACCTATGTATTTACAGAAATGTATAATGCTCTTCAAAGCATTTGGGCCATACCTGCCATTCTCTCATGGGTGTTGTCAGATACTGAACACGGGAAAATACACAAACGTCCTCAGTTTGCAGGAAGAGGAAATTTTGTTAAGGAAAAAGTACACTTGGCACTTGAGGCCATTCGTACTTGGCCTTTGACCCCAGGAGCCATCATGTCTGTGACACTGCCTTTTACTTGTATTGTAATTCTTCTGACAGATTAAATCTCCTTCTGTGAATCAGAAACTTACTTTTCAATGAATTATTAATATGGGGTTGTTTCTAACTTACAGTGCCTTGGAATTCACCAAACGCTGAATTTTAGCAAACTGAAAAAGTCATCCATTTAACCTACTGGGAAGGAAGCATTGCTTAATGCACTCCATTGTGGCTATCTCAAATAGCAGATTTTGCAGCCTCATTGAGCCTTTACACCGTTGCCTGCTCTATGTAAGATATGTGCTCTTTGGGTTGTCAGTCACAAAACTCTCTCCTCAATAGGTGATCTGGTGCTTGCAAGGAAACCACGTCTTCTAATTGAGAGATTTACCAGAAGCATTTTCATTAAGCCATATGTAGACATGCTAATCTCTTGTTGATAATCCTCTATGAACACTTGCTACAGTATTTCACCTGTTAACTTCTCTAATGCGGTCATGTCATTTTTATTTTTTTCATTTTATAATCTTTATTCGTTGTTTTTCTTCCACATCAAAACTACATATATTACTTCATTCCAAAGAAGGCATAAACAGACTCGATACAAACATATATAAAGTTACATACACTGTTGTGCTGTTTGAAAATTGTCAATATAGGTGAGTGTAAATTCTTTTTTTTTTTTTTTTTCTCATGATGTTTATAAAACCAATAATACATCCATCATCAAGTATTCTGTTAAGGGCTATTAAATTCTCTTCATCTCCAAGTATTCTATCCATTAAACATGGAGATGGGTATCAAATGCCGTCATATCCCCCTTTTTCATTTGTCGCTCAGATTGCTTTTCTGAAGGCCGTTTTACTATATGCCTGCTTGGGCTATTTTGCAACTTTTGTAACACAGAGGCACCTTCATTTTACTATTGGAATTTGTTTGATTGTTTATATTGACAATCATGGCATCCTGTACAATACTTAATTTCTTTCTTTTTTTTCTAAATAGATGAACTGAGGTCTAACTCACTACCCACTTTCCTGTGGTGATGGGAGTTTGTGGGTTTTCTGATGATCTATGATAATGTATGTCTGTGTATCATACTCTCTGTGTGGGAAATGTGTTTTCCATACTCCATATCAACCACATTAGTAATAACTTTCATTTCCCCCCTCCATATGCTACCCTGGTAGATCTATAGTTTTTCATCCTCCTTTATGATTTTTATTTATTTTTTCCCCCTCCCTAGCTTTTAATTTATATCCCAGAGCTTAATACTTGCCTAATTTGGTCTTGTTTTTTCCCCTCTATTTCAGTGTGCTTCATCCCGTTCAG